CAAAATTTTCCTAAAATGGTCCGTATTCGAGAAATTTGACAAAATGTAAAAAACATAATTTTTTATAAAAATTGTTCAAATAAAAGTTGTTTATAATATAATTCTCTATAATTTTTGTCCTATACATAATTTCTCTAAAATGGACCGTATTCGAGATATTTGAGAAAATGTGTAAATTTCGAAATTTGAAGAAAACTCAAAAACGGATAAAGAAAAAAACATTAAATTTTAAACTTAAGGTTTATTTCGGCCTGACGTGAAATGATTAGATTTTGGACAAAGTTGGAACATCTGGGGGGGTACTTTATGGGAGGCCGTTTTTATATTTTATGGAATATATCTGTTATTTATGTTTGGAGAAGAAAATTGTTCAAATAAAAGTTACTTCTAATATTATTATCTATAATTTTTGTTTTTTGTCAAAATTTCCTGAAATGGTCCGTATTCGAGAAATTTGACAAAATGTGCAAAATTCTGATTTTTATGAAAATTGTTGAACTAAAAGTTGTTTGCGATATCGATTTCTATAATTTTTGTTTATACATGATTTTTCTAAAATGGTCCGTAATGGAAAAGTGCTAAATTTAAATTTTTCTGTATTTTCGTTTTCAATGAATATCTATAGAAAAATGTTTCGAGGTAGATGTATGTGTAAAATGTATATATTTAGTTTATCCTCTAAACATTTATAGAGATGCTGCAATAGGTTGTACAAAATAACCGGAAAATGCCTATAATAACTAGATAGGAAAGTCATGTGTTGGACACATCAGATTTTTTAAAATAAACATAAGCTTATGCCTTGAAGTAAAAATATAAGCAATTATTATTTTTTAAATATCTAAAGTCTGAAAATTGGTTTTAAAACACATTTTTGCTAAACTGATTCAAATTAATAAATATTTGCCAGGCAATATGGCTGCTCGCAAACGACCAGCTTTGAGCAATGTATATAACATATATGTATCATTGACCCTGTTAATGACAACATGACAACAGGGTTGCCATATCTAAACTGTCAGTACCTACTGGTAGCCATTTGGACAGGTCGTTGGAATGCCTAATAGGTGCGTTTTAATCATCCGCTTTTGCTTCGGAATTGTCGGTTTTCTTGTTTTAATCTGACAGGTTAGAACGACTGAACCGACAATTCCGGAAGCAGAAGCGGATGATTAAAACGCACCTACTGATAGCAATATTTCAGTACCTTCCACTCCTCCTAAACTCAAGAGAGTTGTAAATTCGGCGATTTCCGTTTTAATACCCGAAAATAAGAAGCAAATTTCCAACTTAATTTCTGGCGATATAGTATCTGGTTTGAATGTAGGCAATAAGCATTATTCAGAAACACTATATGTAGTTGCTTCAACTTCTGTAGTAAATATAAGTAATATTACAAACTGTACCATTAATGTTAATATTCATCCTAAATAATATAAGTACTTATGTATTTGTTGGTATTCAATAAAAAATAATCCTTGTCTTTGTAATATTTTAGAAATGTCAAATTTGGAAGTGATATTCAAATATGGAAGACGTTTGGTTTCGCAGCCGTTGCTATGGGTAACGGCCGCGTAATTAAATTTCGCGGACTGTGCTGAGAACGCGAAATACTGACTTCGCGTGCGATTGCACGAAAACTATTTTATTTCGCACCAGCCGAAGTCTAGTGGCAAATAATTCATTGTTTTAAGTCTACTTCCTTTTTATATGCATTTAAAAAGGGCTGTTAGATCTTGTTTCGCTTGGTTTCAAAATTGTTGTTTCCTGTACACTCGTGTTGCCACGGTCCGAAAAACTTGTCAATTCTTGAAAGGCGGTGGTTGAGTGGTTTTGTCATGTTGAATTGAATTCAACTAGATTTTGCCTTAATGTTTAAATATATTATATTATTTGAATTATGTGCTTAGAAATAAAAATGATAAATTCCGCCTGCCGCCTCTTAATCTTGTCAACTATCAGTCAAATATTGCAACGCGTTTTTAAGAAAAGTCCCGTGAACAGATTGCAATGAAATTTGGTATACAAGGGTCCGATGACAATGCAATATAATGAAAAATAATTTATAGATATGATATCAGAATGATAAAAAAAAAGATTCTTTACTTTTTAGTGCATTTTATAAAATGAGAAAATAAAACAACTCCAAATCAATCCCACATATTATAATGAAACACGAAATCCCAAGAATATCAAGTTAATGATTAAAAGTCTTCAAAGAAATAAAATTAAAAAGTTTCATCTAAGTATTTAGACTACACCCTGTATAGTGGTAAATTTGACAAGATCTAAAGTAACTAAATGTAGTGAGACAGTGTTACCACATGAAAATTATAATTTTTAAAATGTAAATTTATAAAAAAATTAGAACATGGATTTCAAAATAACCTATTAATTAATGAACAATAAATTATCATCGAAATTATGAAATAAGCCGTTTAAATAAACTCACCTTTATTAATCCAATAATCAAATTTCAATAATGTAACTAAACTGTCAAAATTTTGATTGGCTAATTCCTTTTTTTATCCAACTTGATGAAAAATTAAAATCAGAATTTGTTGATAAAACAAAAGAGTGAACAGTATGTAACGAAGGAGGAAGGACATGAAAAATTTTTCCTTCTAATTCCTTTCCAAAAATTTCTTTTTTCCTAAAAAAAAAATGAAGAGACAGGAAAATTAATTCTTCAATGTTTATTTATAAGTACTTGATTAGTGTATAAATGTCAAAGGTAATATAAAATTTAACTTACCCATGGAAAATCATGTAAAACTGCACGAAGACGAGTCCCCAGGAAGACATCCTCACCGCTGTATGCATCGGCATACTAGACGAAAGGCAGGTATTTGTAATATCTGCTTATGTTTATGGACACTGAAAAGAAATACGTTTAACACTTGGACATCTCATATTTCACAGTGAAACACAGGTATTTTAATTAAAAACTATCATTAGTGACTGATTTAAAAAAAACTACTTACCATAATTGAGTATTTAAGTAATCGTAAAGACGATAAATCTTTCTATTTACGTCTAAAATAGTGTCACAACTTTGTAGACATATTGGGTTGGTTAGGTTATAAGCCATCTCTTGTCCGACTTGAGAAATTACCATATAGCCGGTCAAAAGATTGCTACTTACATTATGAAGCGCCGTGCAGTGAGTAGAACATTAAGCCACGGTAGCTAACTGTATTTTTGTCGCATAATGCGTCATTTTCGATCCAAGAATCGATCTTTAAATGACGTATTATATTATTTTTCGTTTTTATGTTTATTTTTACATTTATGTAACAATTTTCTGTTTCTTTATCCCATATTAGCCATAAAGAATCTTTGAACTCGCACTAAACCCTGATATTAACATTTTTTAAATAAAACTACAAGTTAGGTATATACAGAGTCTCAAATTTTTACTTACTTTTATTTCAATAATTCAAGAGTTGACGATATACGAGGTGCAGAGGTAAGTGTCTTAAATACATAGATGAAAATTTTTAAGCCCGTTATCTAAAAGAATTAAGTTATATCGTTTTATCACAATCGCGCATTGCATCAGATAGTATTTCAGCTGGAGCATTAAGTATTTGGATGAATGAGGATGATTTGTGATCTAAATTACTTTAAAATAAATAATATTTGGGTAATGTTACTCTTTATTAAAATATTCATTTAACTAGAATTTATGGCTGCCAAACGTGAAGCTCATTACAGTATGGTGCCAGACGAGGAGCCTTAATAAAAAAAAAATGTATATGATTAAAATAAATTAGAATAATTAAATTAAAATTAAAATAAAAAAAAGACATCATTACCTATTACAATATAGCTACTCAAACATAATTATAACATCCTCTTCATTACAATATATATGTGGGATTGATTTGGAGTTGTTTTATTTTCTCATTGAAGATGGCCACATTTGAGAGGTTGGATTCCCTTCATAGCTTACATTTTATAAAAGCCTGTAACTTAATTTTTTTATCAGTTTATTTTCATTTTCCATGATTTTGGCGCCACTAGATCATTGCGCTCCGGGCGGCCGCCCGGATCGCCCTACCCTGGGGCCGGCCCTGATGACAATAATACTCAGAATGGAGACACATTTTATCTAAGTGATTTGGGTTACATTTTCATAATTTGAGCTCAGAATTGTATATTTCCAATTAGTACTGAATCACCCTGTATATTTAAAACCTGTGAACCTTGGTGTTACTACAAAGGGGGATTCATTACCTATAGGTATTTGTTAAATACAATTATTTCCAATTATTACTATCTACCTACTTATTGTACAAATTAAAGGAGTACTTACTCGTTGTTGTTATTTTGGTCATACTAGCATATCAAATTTCTCCTTAAGAATCCATTCTACTCTCCGGCTCACAGTGGCATTAAAACAGACCATCTCATTAGTTTTGAGCTAGCAGTACACTTTTTGTACATTTGAATTCAAATTTTCCTTCGGGATCAGAATTTTAAAATGGTAATAATTCATAATTTAGAAGCGTTGAGAATAAATGTATAAGGTTTTTAAAGTTTTTAATCAGTTACCTTTATAATTTTTACTGCAGGTAGAACCAATGCCGACATACTTTTTATTTGCATAAATTGCTCAATTATATATGTTGCAATAAAAAAAATTGTACTTTATAAAATTAATTAATTTGAGATTAGTATTGATTTTGAACTTTGTGTATTTGCTTTGAAATTTTTTATAAAATAATATAAATATAACAAATAATTTGGCGCCATACTGTAGATACTGCATAGATGATGCATAAAGCGTATGATAACAAGAAATTGCATAGTTACGTAATATAATCATAATAAATTTTCATTTTCATTTTGAAATATAGGAAAAACACCAACTTTAGTGAGACATTCAACGTAAATACATATTTCTATTTATACCATTTAATCTATTCTGAAAGGATATTTCAAAATGAAAGACAGATTACAAAATTTGACCCCAGGGTTATCTCCTGCAATATACTGTAATAACAAATATTTAGGGTTTAACACTTTATTAAATTTCAAAATTGTGTTGTTCTCATTAGTTCTAAACGGATAATTATAATTACAATTCACGGAATGTTTTATCTATTAAGGAATTTAGAATGATCTCAAAATTCATTCAAACATGTATATTTAACATGAATGAAATATACTGAGGCTTAGCAGTGATTTTTATTTTAATTTATACTATAAGTACGAGAAGAAAAAATGGACGATGTTAGTAGGGATAAATCAGAAAAGGTAAGGTGATAGTTTATACTCGTATTATTAAATCCTTTTTAAAATTGCATCATTAAATCGCTTTTCAATTCAAGGCATTTTAGGTAAATAGTATGACATTATGATCAATTCTTTTTATTGTAGCTTCTCTCAAATTTCCTAGTGCTCTAATAGTTTTAAATAATTTTCTTCTACTGTTAATACAATAATTATCATTCCGTAATGATATATACAATCAGGTCCGTGAACTTGACATCACAACATTAGAAAAATGTGTGCATGGATTACTTATCGTTTGCCCATTATTGCCCGTGAAATAACTTTTTTGCCCAACCTCTGTTTTCAAAATATATCGAAAAGAATAGGTGATAGTTAATATACTCGTATTATTAATTCCTTTATAAAATTACATCATTAAATCACTTTTCAGTTCAACACATTTTAGGTAAATATTATGACATTATGATCATTTTTTTAATTGTAGCTTCTCTCAAATTTCCTAGTACTCTAATAGTCCTAAATAATTTTCTTCTACTGTTAACACAATAATTACACTGCAATTTCTGATGATTGAGTTATACTACATGACACTAGCTTAATTTTTAATGAAGACCTCATCTGTAATCTAAATTTCTGTTTCATAATAAAACACAATTTGTTTAAAGTTAATCATATTTTATTAAGTTCTTAAGGTGAAAAAAACTTTCTTTTATAAGACTTCCTTGCAGAGGTTGAACACATAAAACTGTTCTGAATGCTCCAACAATATTCAGCCATCATGTGTGCGTTCCAGTAGCCTTGATACCGTTCCTCCATCGTACGAAGGTCCTAATGGAATCGCTCGCCCTGTTCTTCACTTAGATCCCCAAGATTAGCGGGAAAATAATCTAGGTGGTTGTGAAGAAAGTGCAACTTGATACTCATGTTACATCCAAGGGTTTGAAAGTGACTCATTAGTTGTTCAACGTGTCGAGAACTTTTCTTATTTCCCAAAAAATTTTGTACAAGCCAAACAAACTCATACCATGCGTTTTTCTCAATTTTTGTGTCCGTAAATTTTGTATCTTTTATTAATGATCTTATCTGTGGCCCATCGAAAATGCCCTCTATTATTTTTTCTACACTCAGTTTCGGGAATTTTTTTGGTAGAAATAGAAAACAATTTCCAGTTTTGTTAAGACCTTTGACAAACTGTTTTATAAGCCCTAATTTTATATGCAAAATTATACGATCTCTTGACACTAAAGGTGGGTTTATCACGTTTTGTTGTCTTGGAACTAGATCTTTCCGAGTAAGCCAATCCTTTTTAACCCAATGTTGATTTTTAACTCCCACAAGCAAAAAAAAACAAGGTTACTTTGTGTAACAACCTTGCTGGCCTAATAGAAAGTTGACCATTTTTAAATCAACACATATAATCCAGTTATTTTCCACATATTTAATTTTGTCCAAAACCAGAGCTATAGTTGTATATTCTTCTTTTATTTTTGTAGAATGTGCAATAGGCAACGGCCCTAATTTATTCCCATTGTGGAAGAGAACACATTTTAGACTCCGTTTTGACGAGTCTATGAATAAACGCCACTCACTAGAAACATAATTTTGTAATCCCATTGCAGCCATTAATCCAGATACATCTTTACAAAATACGAAATTGTATTCTTCAGCAAAATATTTGAGGAAATTCTGTTCTCTTGTGCGGTAATAAGAAATTTTAGTTTCTTTCGTTACCAATTTTCTTTCTTTTAGTTTTAAAGCCAAATTTTCTCAAGCTGATTTTGACAGTCCCAGATCCAGTGACGGTTTGCCCGTAAGGGCACTTGGACACGTGCCCTAGTATAATAAACAAAAAAAAAATAACTTACATATATTTTATATTTTCCTCAATGCCTATTATTATTATTATTTTATCTAATATTCAGCGCAAACCGCGTTGGCACGACACTGGACGACCGGGCGTTGAGTGACGTTCCGAGACTTCCGAAATTAAGTGGAAGGGCACAGGACACAGTAAATTTGTACAGTAAAAATAAGGACAACGACAATATCGCTTAGCAAGAGATGAACACATGTGATGGATTATACGTCACAAGCAGGGCGCTGTCCTACATACTTTGATTTTCTCTTACGCGCTGTCCTCATTGTGACGTGCTGTACCCATGGCACAGATTACCTAGACCTACATACTTTCCTAGACCAGATACGAATGTACGCAGCGGCATCTTTACCGGCCATGCCGGTTACGGCTAAAGGTGCGCGTTTGTTGGATAATGATAATAATATATTTATTGTGATTCCGAAAAAATGTTAGTTGGACCACTGGAATAGTTAAGAAATAAAACTACAAAGAAAAATAAGTTTTTTTTATAAAGCAGTCAAAAATATGATAAAAAAAATTAATAATAATTATAAATGGGACAAAATTTTAATTTTTCTTTTGGTTTTGTCTGATTTTTTCGAGGATTTCAAATCTCTGTTTGCATATTTAAGAGTATAAAAAATTCGATATGTAATGATTTTTTGATTAAATAGCCACATACATAGTTAAATGCAATTTGAGTGGTCACATTTAGCTCCCTGTAGTCACATTCAGAAATTGTTATTGCCCCAACTGATTGTTTTGAAATATATTTAATTTTCATTAAGCGGAGAACTTGTTTTCCTAAGGGAAAAACGAATACCGGGATTCCTTTCCAGTGTATGCCCCACTACCGCTAGTGCCCACGAGCCACCTCTGCCCTGATCTCTAATTAAGTCGTTTAAATCATCTTGATTGAATGGTTTTGTTCCCAGGTCGCATTCAAAGTCACTACCACAAGACCACTACTGTCGTTTTCCGTCTCAAAATCTTCTGGCTCTTCCTGTAAAGTACCAGATTGAGGTTCAGGTGTAGACTTAGGCTTCAGGACACGTCTATTTGGCTCAATTTTTTCGGTTAATCCAGTTATGTTCACCAAATAAAAATAACAATCGTCATGGTGGTTCATGGGTTCATTCCAAGTCATACCGGTTTTGTACCTGAAGCTATGTCTTTTCTTATTTGTCCATAAACGTAGGATCTCAACGCATATTTTGCACACCTTTTGCTGAATCCAAGGACTATTTACTTAATCATATAACATTCATATTTAATTATATAATCTCCTCCTCCCAATATCCTTCTGCATGGAAACAAGCCCTTATCGTTCCTATTGCTAAGTGTAATCAGGCAACGAATTTTTCTGATTTAAGACCAATCAGCCTTCTACCCACTTTATCAAAATCATTTGAAGCAATTATCAAAGATCAAATTATTAGGTATATTTATCAACGAAACATTATAACTCAACATCAGTCAGGTTTTAGACGCCATCACAGCACTACTACTGCTCTTCTGTCTATTAGCGATGATATTTTTAAAGCAACCGACCAAGGGAAAATAACATGCTTGGTTCTTCTCGACTACAGCAAAGCATTTGATACCCTAGATCATGACTTACTCTGTAATAAATTAAACTCTTTCGGCTTTACAAAAAATGCAGTCTCCCTCATATCAAATTATCTTAGTAATCGCACTCATAAAGTAATTTTGGATGACAACATATCAAATTTCCTACCAGTAATACAAGGAGTGCCACAGGGTTCATTTTAGGATCAGTCCTATTTGCTCTGTACATTTCTGACTTCCATAGCTTTGTTCAAAATTGTGCGATTCACCACTATGCTGACGATACGCAGCTTTATCGATCTTTTGACAAAGAGTCGCTGGGTAACTCAAGTCTTCATCTTAATGAATACTTGAATTCTTTATTTAATATATCTATTGCTCACAACTTAAAAATAAATCCGTCCAAATCTACAGCAATGTTATTTGGTGCAAAAAAATATAAAATCAACTATAGATCAATTACAGATTACAATTGGTGGCAATGTTCTTCAGTTTGTAAATGAAGCCAAAAATTTAAGACTGTAGATTGATTCCGAGCTTCAATTCACAAAGCACGTAAATTCATTGTTGCAAAGTTGTTTTACTGTTTTGAGACAACTATTTCCTATCCGAGACTTACTTTCCGCACACACTAAGTTAAAACTTTGTGAATCTCTTATTTTTTCAAAGATATTTTATTGTGACTCTATTTACGGACCTGCACTATTTCGATATGACTCTCTACGTTTACAAAAAAATCAGAACTGTTGCTTGCGTTTCGCATATGGCATAAGAAAATTTGATCATATTTCACACAAAATGATCGAATCAGGATGGTTATCTTTAAATAACTACGGGACACTTCACTTATTAACATTAGTTCATAAGACATTAAAGCTTCAAAAACCCGATTATTTATTCAAAAAGTTAATAACGTTTTCAAATATAAATACATTATCTACGCGCCACAGAAATATCTTAGTCATACCTGAACACCAAACAGCATTTTTTAAAAGATCCTTTTCTTATGTAGTATTCTACAGTCACAAGGGGATCAGACCAACTCCAATAGACTGGAAGCTGGCCTCCGAGATCACAAGACCACACAGGATTAGTTGGGCTATCAACAAATTTAAGGCATACAAATCCCCGGGGCCGGATGTAATATATCAAATTCTGCTCCAGAAGGGAAAAGATGTGTTAATGCCACATTTATGCAAAATCTTCAGAGCATGTATTGCCTGGAGATATATCCCAGCAATATGGCAAAAGGCGAAAGTAGTCTACCATGCCAAAGTAGGTAGGGTCACAGACCAAACGCCAAAGTCATATCGCCCCATAAGCCTATCTTCCTTCCTACTTAAAACACTAGAAAGATTAATAGATAGGTATATCAGGGACGATATACTAAAAATAAATCCGCTCCATCCCAACCAATATGCATACCAGCCAGGAAAGTCAACTGACCTAGCGCTGGACGATCTAAACAGGCTGCTTTCAAAGTCAATAGATGACAAAGAAATCGCAATAGCCACTTTCTTAGATATTGAAGAAGCTTTCAACAATGCCTCAACCAGGTCAATAACCAAGGCTCTAGAAGGGAGAAACTTCCCAG